CTCAGCATCTCCCCATCTCCCCCATTTCCCACCATCTCTCTATACTGACTCGCCTTTCGACCTATTTCATTCCATCAAACACCCACTTCCATCCCTCCCTTCCTTTCTTCCCTCCCACCCTTTGACCCTTCACTATCTCCCCCTCACTCCCTCCTTCCCTCACTTTGACTTTTCTCAACCCTTCCCACCTTAACTTCCTTCCTTCCCTCCTTCCCAATATCTCCCCTCCCAGTTATATCCATCCCCTTCCTTCCCATCTCCCTCTTTCCTTAGTTCCCCTTCCTCTCCTCTCCTCTCCCACGACGGTAGTGTTATGGAGGCGACAAACGTCTTCCTAACCAACAGTCGTTCAGGCGTTTATCTTGTCAACGACGGATTACCGATGGGTGGCGTTGAGTGGCGAGGGGAAGGGAGGTGGGTGGCGACGACTGGCGAAGTGGCGAGGAACAGCGGATAGTGGCTAAGGGCGGCTGCGTACGGCGGGTGGGGTTGGTGGTGGGTGATGGTGTGGGGTGGCTAGTGACACTGGTAGGGGGTGGCTAGTAACTGTGGTATGGGTTGCCAATGACGGTAGTTGGGGTGGCTAGTGACACTGGTAGGGGTGGTTAATAACTGTGGTTGGGGATGGCTAGTGACGGTTTTTTTTTTATTTTTTTTTTTATTGGGCACTCCCCATACATCCTTGTGTAAGGTGAAGCGCAGAAGCGTTTACAGCGCCCAACAGGGAAGCATGCTAAGTTCATGCTTGCCTTTATGTCTCATGAGTTAAGGGCGTAGAAGCCTGAAGAGTCAAGGGCGTAGAAGCCTGAAGAGTCAATGGTTTATGTCATCAAGTTATTGGAAGCTCCAACAACTTGTCCCTGAATACAAATTCGCAACTTTCGACTTACACCAGGTACCTACTTTACTGCTAGGTGAACAGGGACTAATGGGGGCTAGGAAGTATATCCAAACAACTTCCACCTGCCCGGGAATCGAACCCGTGGTGTGGGGTCGCTAGTGACTAAGAGGGGAGGGGTCAGGCTGTAAGTGGTAGCTGATGGTGAATAGCAGCGATGGTTAGTTGGTGTCAGAGGGTTACGACCGCCTTTTATAATCTATACATCTTATTATCTATTCAATCGTGACCCCTTCTCTTCTGAACACAATAGCCGGGACAAATAGTGATGAATTAGAACCAAACTGAGGACTGTGTATCATAACAAGATCTCAGACGAGTTCGATAATCACCTTTTTTTTCTCTCTTTGTTACCGTCCACAATTATGGCCTCTTGGACTTTGTTAGGGCCATTGGGACTTTGTACGGGACAATTGGACGTTATTAGGGGCCCTTGGACGTTGTTGTGGTTCGTAGGACTTTGTTAGGGGCCATTGGGACTTTGTTAGGGGCCATTGGGACTTTGTTAGAGCCATTGGACTTTTTTATGGTCCCTTGGACTTTGTTTTAGGCCTTTTAATGATGGGGGCGTGGGTGAGTGCATACTGTGGATGGGTGTTTCGGTGGGTGGGTCTTATAGGCAGAGGAGTGGATACTATGAAAAGGTGGGTGGGTCCTGGGGGATGGTGTTAGGGTGGGTCCTGGGGGAGGAGTGTTTGGGTGGGTTCTGGGAGGAAGTGGGTTAGGGTGGGTCCTGGGGAATATTTAGAGGTGGGGAGAGAACGAGGAAGTAATTGAGACAAAGCAGAGAAGAGAAGTTAGGGAGGAAGATGAATGAGGTGAGGGGCGGACAGGATGAGGGAGGGAAGGGGAGGAAGGGAGGAGAAAATAGGAGAGGTTAGGAAAGAGAGAGAGGGGGGGATAGGGAGGGAGGAGAAAGGAGAGATTGGGAGATATGTTGGGAGAGGGAAGGAGGTTGGGATGGAAGGGGAGGTAGAAAAGAGGAGGAGGGAGGGAGGGAGGGAGGGAGGGAAGAAAAGGAAAGTTGGAACCTTGAAAAATGGGAAGAAGATAAAGGATAGGTAGATATGAGAGAAAGTAAGGAAGGAGGGAGAAATACGGTAAAGGAGGGAAAGAAGGAAAAAGAGGGAGGGGGAAGAAAGAAAGAGGGATGAAGAAAGGGAGGGAGGGAAGGAGGGAGGGAGGGAGGGAAGGAAGGATATGAAGGAAAGGCGGAGAAGGACAAGAGGAAGAAATTGGGAGGAGGAAACGGTAATGAAAGGAAAAAAGAGAAACGAGAGGAGTGAAGAGAAAATGGAAGAAAAGGCGCAGAAGAGGAATGAGAAGGAAAACATAAGAAGGAAATAGCGATGGATAAAGGAGAGGAAGAAAGAATAAGGATTAGAGAGGTGAAGAGGATTAGCAGAGAGGAGAGGGTGGATGGAGAGAGAGAAGGGAAGGGGCGGATGAAGAGGGGATAAAAAGGACAAGGAGTAGAGTAGATAACAAAAGGAGAAATAAGGAAAAGATTAATAAATGACACGAGAGAGGGAAGGATGTCGAGATGGAAGAGGGGAAATGAAAGGGGGAAAAGGAGGGGAGGTAGGAGGAGGAGGAGGAGGAGTTGGAACAGAGGAGAGCTGTCAAGAAGGAAGAGGAAGAAGAGGGAGGAAGAAGTGAAAGAAATATGAAGGAGAGAGAGAGGGGAGGGAGAGGAGAGCGGAGGAGAGAGAGAGAGAAGGGAGGAGGGGAAGAGAAGAGAGGGAGAGAGAGAGAGAGAGAGAGAGAGAGAGAGAGAGAGAGAGAGAGAGGAGAGAGAGAGAGAGAGAGAGAGAGAGAGAGAGGAAACTGCTAGGTAATGGGGAGTAATTGGGAGAAACGTCACAGTGGACAAACAAGTTATCGAGGTGATCTTTCCCCTGAATAATGGTCTTGCTGTCAATACTGCTGGTGAGGAGGGACAGGAGACGTAGGGGGAGAAGAGGTGGTGATGTGGGGGAGTTACGACGTGGGGGAAGGGGGGGGGGAAGAGGGAGGAGGGAACTTGGAAGATTGAGGGAGGGGAGAGAGGGAGGGTGGGAGGTAGAGAGGGAGGTGGGAGGGAGGGGGGGGGTGGAGGGGAGGGGAGGGGGGGAGGGAGGGAGGGAGGGAGGGAGGGAAAGAGGGAGGGAGAAAGGCCGAAAGCAAGAGAGGGGGGAGGGGAATTAATGGGGTGGAAGAGGGAAGCTGATGGGATGGGAGAGGAGGGAACTGAAGATGGAAGGGGTGATGAGTAATGGAAGGGAAAATAGAAGAAGAAAGAGGAGGAGGAAGAGAAAGAGAGAGAAGGTGATACTAAGGAAGGTAAAATAAGGAGGGAATAGTTGAAATTTTAGTTAAACAAATTTATTGGCAGCGCTTGTAGTACAGTTTGCCTATTCTGAGTAATTCAGTCAGGTCTTAACACTGAGGGTGGTATCACTTCTCACTGCCACGCACGACAGAGGTTCATACACAAAGAAGTACATCATATTCATTAACAGCTATAAATGTATAGAGGTCAGATTCATGTGGGTAATGTCACTGTTCACTGCCATGCAGGACAGAGGTTCGTACACAAAGAAGGAAATACATCATATTCATTAGCAGTATATATAGGTCAGTGGATCACATACATTGGAGTCATATTCTAATTGAAGACTAATCAGTGTGGGCTAGCAAACTTGGGATAAACAGCAAGAATGTCCTCAAGCACACCTGATTCAATGACGTAATTACATAGTTCAAGATACAATAAGTTGAAGGAGATTGGACTTCTTGGAGGGAAGGTTGGGCGAGGGGTGAGGGAACCTGGTGCTTCTTTCCCTCCTTGTACACCCCTCTCCTTTATCTTTCTCCTCTCATTCTCCTCCTCCCTATTCATTCCTCCTTCTCCCCCTAAATCCTCCTTCGGTTTCCTCCTTTTTTTTACACTCTTTTCCACTTCTCATTTGCTCCTTCCATTTCTTCCTCTTCCAATCTCCTCGTTGATTCTTCTTCTCTTCTTTCCTCTTCCCTTCTCCACCTCCCCCTCCTCCTTTCTCCCAAGGGATAAAAGAATCAGCCAAAGATAACATTTTCCTCGGCCCTATAGATGGGATGGACGGGTGGACGGACAAACTGACGGACGGGTGGACGGACGGACGGACGGACGGACGGACAAACTAACGGATGGACGGACGGACATACGTACACCTATCCACAAACACCATTAGTACCAAGTGACGTGAAATTTCATTGATAATAATTGGTGGCCGAGGCGATTTTTCTTAACAAACTTGCGATTTAGACAGACAGACAGACAGACAGACACAGACAGACAGACATAGAAGACCCTCACACACCGGTCACTACATGCCCCCGCCCTATTATAGCCTCGGGGACATAAGATAATAAGAAAGAGGCCCTACGAGACAGCCTTTAATTAAGACTCATTAGTTAACTCTTCATTGTATCTGAGATTCCAGTGTAGATATTTAGAGAGGGTTAAATACTTTTAGCTAAACCTAACCTAACCTAACCTGACCTGACCTGACCTAACGTGACCTGACTTGACCTGACCTAACGCAATGTAACGTAACCTGACCTGGCCTAACCTAACCTGACCTAACGTGACACTGACCTGACCTGACCTGACCTGACGTGACCTGACCACCCCTTAGTTAAATAGTCTGACCAACTATGTACGCCCTCCTCTCGTGCCCTCTAATTTACGCTCCCCTTCTTCCTCCCTCCACCCACTCCCTTCACGCCCTACCTCCCCTCCCCGCCCTTCACCTACTCCCCTCCTCCTTCACCTTCTCCCCACCCCCTCCCTCCACCCACTCCCTTCTTGCCCCACCTCCTCACCCCCCCACGCTCTTTCACGCCCTACCCCCTCCCCTTTCACGCCCTACCCTCCCTCCCTTCGCGCCTCCCTACCCCTCCCTCCCTTCACGCCCTACCCCTCCCCTTCCGCCCACCTCCCTTCCACCCCTCCCACCTCCTCACCCCCACGCTCTTTCACACCCTACCCCTTCCCTCCCTTCACGCCCTACCCACTCCCCTCCCTACCCCCTCCCCCCACTCCCTTCACGCCCTACACCCTCCCTCCTTCACCCACCTCCTAAGTGTACGTCCACCCACATGATAAACATCGGTGGAACGTTTTTGTACATTTCTTCCTCCCTCCTCTTCTCTGTTTCTTCTCTTCGTTGTCTTCTTCGTCGTGTTCATTGTTGTCTGCCTCGTCGTGTTCTTCGTTGTCTTCTTCGTCGTGTTCTTCGTTGTCTTCTTCGACGTGTTCTTCATTGTCTTCTTCGTTATGTTCATTGTTGTCTTCTTCGTCGTGTTCTTCATTATCGTCGTGTTCGTTGTTGTCCTTTTCGTCGTGTTCTTCGTTGTTTTCTTCGTCGTGTTCTTCGTTGTCTTCTTCGACGTGTTCATTGTTGTCCTCGTCGTCGTGTTCATTATTGTCTTCTTCGTCGTGTTCTTCATTGTCTTCTTCGTTATGTTCATTGTTGTCTTCTTCGTCGTGTTCTTCATTATCGTCGTGTTCGTTGTTGTCCTTTTCGTCGTGTTCTTCATTGTCTTCTTCATCGTGTTCATTGTTGTCTTCTTCGTTATGTTCTTCTCAGTAAACACAGAGTACCTCAGCACTGGTTGCCATTAAGTATATTACCATACCATGTGAGTTGCCATAAATATAGGTTGCCATACTGTGTGAGCTGCTGAACGTTCCAAAGCAAAGGCCAACATCGTGTAGGTTGCCATAATGTGGGTTGCCATCGTGTGGGTTGCCATCGTGTGGGTTGCCATCGTGTGGGTTGCCATAATGTGGGTCGCCATCATGTGGACTACCCTCCCAGATCCCTCGCCCAGATAGTGGTTGGCCGTGACAGGTACAATCCGCCAGGGTAACTACACCCTCTACCCAGCTGTTCCCACCATCACCAATGCCCTCCTCTGGCACCAGCTGTCTCTCTCAACCAACTGTCTCCCGATCAGCTGCGTCTTCCAATCAGTTGTGTCTCGCCTCCAGCTGTGTCCTCTTACCATCCGTCTCTCAACCGACCGCGGTATCTCAACTGTCTCCCTCAACCAACTGCGGCATCTAACCAGCTGTCTGTCCCTTCATCAACTCTCAAAATCACTTGTACTGCCCAATTAACTGAACCATCTATCCTATTAACTCTCCAAACCATCTGAGGAGACCAACTACCTCAACCATCTGTTCCGTCAATTCCCTTAACCAGCTGTCCTGTCACCTTTAGAAATCACCTGTGCATTTCAGCTGGTCTAATCAATAATCAGGACGACCTCTCCTCACCATCTGCCTCTTCCTCTCATTTGAGCTATTCGAACCACCTGTCCGTACCAGATGGATTAACAGCTAGTCATGTCCATCCTCACCTGGAACCTGAGGAGGAGAGGAGAGGAGGAGGAGGAGGAGGAGGAGGAGGAGGAGGAGGAGGAGGAGGAGGAGGAAGAGGAAGAGGAGGAGGAGGAGGAGGCAGTTGGTGACCTTCCTGGACGCTAAGTTGAGTAGAATATGTAAATCAAATTTGAGAGAGAGAGAGAGAGAGAGAGAGAGAGAGAGAGAGAGAGAGAGAGAGAGAGAGAGAGAGAGAGAGAGAGATTAGGAGAACTCGGAAAATGGAATTACACAGAAGGGATGATAAAGGTGGAAAGGACCGTAGGAAGATAAAGAAGGCAACAGTAGGAAGAGAAAGTGACAGTAGGAGGAGAAAGTGACTGTAGGAAGAGAAAGAAAGTGACAGTAGGAAGAGAAAGAAGGTAACAGTAGGAAGAGAAAGTGACAGTAGGAGGAGAAAGTGACAGTAGGAAGAGAAAGAAGGTAACAGTAGGAAGAGAAAGTGACAGTAGGAAGAGAAAGAAGGTAACAGTAGGAAGAGAAAGTGAGAGTAGGAGAAAGTGACTGTAGGAAGAGAAAGAAAGTAACAGTAGGAAGAGAAAGTGACAGTAGGAGGAGAAAGTGACAGTAGGAAGAGAAAGAAGGTAACAGTAGGAAGAGAAAGTGACAGTAGGAGAAAGTGACAGTAGGAAGAGAAAGAAAGTGACAGTAGGAAGATAAAGAAAGTGACAGTGGGAAGAGAAAGAAAGTGACAGTAGGGAGATATAGAAAGTGACAGTAGGAATATAAAGAAATTGACAGTGGGAAGAGAAAGGAGGAATGATGAGACAGGTGGAGGGGGAAGGAGGAGGTACCGTAAATGAAAGAATAAGACAGAATTGAGAGAATGAGGAATAGAGGAAGGGAAGGATAAATCAGGAGAAAATAAGGAATTAGAGAAAGATAAAAAAGATTAGGGGAGAGAGAATAAGGAATAAGGATAAGGAAGGAATAAAAAAGAAGGAAATAAAGGAAGGGATAAGTGGGGTAGATAGAATAATGGAATGTGATTGATAGAGGAATGATAAGGAGACAGGTATGGCGGAGGGGTGATGAGGGGAATGACGAGGTGGTGGGGATGATGGGTGATGAGGGAATGATGTGGGTGAGGGAATGATGGGGGGTGAGGGGAATGATGTGGGTGAGGGGCATGATGTGGGTGAGGGGAATGATGGGGTGAGGGGAATGATGTGGGGGTGAGGGAATGATGGGGGGTGAGGGGAATGATGGGGTAAGGGAATGATGGGGGTAAGGGGAATGATGGGGGTGTGAGGGAATGATGGGGGTGAGAGGAATGATGGGGGTGAAGGGAATGATGGGGGTGAGGGGAACGATGGGGGTGAGGGGAATGATGGGGTGAGGTAATGACGAAATGAGGGGTGACAGGAATGATGGGGGGTATGAGGGGAACTATTGGTATGGGAGAATAGTTAAGATGAACGACACCACCACATTCCCAAATTACCGTCATTCTTGAAGGGCATTCAGTGATGGCTCGGTAATGGTCGTTAGCTGAAGTCGTTAAGGCCATCCTATGGTTCTGGTATTCTAGTTTTATTTTAATTTAAGAATCATGTAAATTCAGATGGAATATTGAATCTAATTAAACCATCAACACTTAGTAATATAAATCATTTAATATATAAACACATATATAAACACAGGTGTATATAAATAATATTTAATAGGTCTAGAACAGTGGTTGTCAACCTTGTTTGCCCCATGCACCCCTTTCACCATATGTCAGAATGTCATTCCCCCCTCCTTTCCAAGATTGTCTGCCTCAAAAAGTGCATTCCAAATAATATGCATATAATACTGAAAATCCTTTATTTTTTCCATATTAGTATCAGTTTCCTCCCTGAAAACCTGAGGGGGGAAATTCCCCCCTGGTTGAGAACCCCTGGTCTAGAAGATATAATAATTAATAAACATGAAAATTGTTACTAGAAATAAATAATACAGATAAAGGATTGAAGCCTAAGTGTAAAAATATATTGCCAGTTAGTCATTCAGTCAGTCATTCAGTCAGTCATTTAGTTAATAAGTCAGTCAGCTAGATATTCAGTCAGTCAGTCAGTGAAGAAGCATATAATTTTGATATATGTTCTGTATTTAACTTATAAAGATCTTTGCTATATATATATATATATATATTACCAAGATGGCCGCTATATGTACCAATCATTCATGAAGCACAGTCAGTCTTTTTTCAGGTGCGTTACCAGCTCTATATATGACTGACTGACTCACTCACTCACACCATAGTGGAGGAGGATGGGATTTATACAGTGGCAGAGATAGACTAGTTTAAGATGATATCCTTATAGAGACAGAGAGAGACAGAGAGACTATTCCAAGAAGAGTTTTCCACGAGACAGCGACGGCACGAACCACTGACACCTGAGAGACAGCTCAAAACAAGTCCTTCATATCTCTTGAGATCTCGCGCCAACAACAACAACCAAGTACTCGCGAAGGAGAGACAGAGAGAGACACCCAACAAACAGTTTCAAGAAGAGAATTTTCCAGGTGACAAGACCAGCACGGACGGGAGACGTTTGAGAGACAGTTCTCAACCCAGACTTATATACAGTATATACGTACCACCTGGGATCTCATATCGCACAGAGAGATCAAGCAAGAGAGACGTTTGAGAGACAGCTCGTGACAAGACCTTTCTACAGATACTCATACAGCCTTATGATATCTCTTTAACTGAGAGACGAGGAGAGAGCACCGAGAGAAAGAAAGATACGAGGAGATAACATTGGAACAAGTGAGACGAGAACACTAAGAGATAGAGAGAAGAATGAAAACACCGAGAGAGAGAGAGAGAGAGAGAGAGAGAGAGAGAGAGAGCCACAATAACGTCATGCCATGTTCCGCCTGGTAATGGACTCTGACAATCCGGAGTAATCCAAGACGCACGCGAACAGTGATATAATCCAAAGGCGACTCCTACGCACGCGAACGACACGACGACTGGGGAGGTCTAGACGAGTCGAGACAGACGGATAGACAGAAAGACAGACATGCAACACCGAACTCAACAAGTATTTGCAAGAGCGGGGGGACAAAAGACATGCAATTGTAACAGAGCTACGACCTGGATTTTTTTCAATGGTTTCGCGGAAAAAATCTTAGTAATTGGTGATTTGGAAACGTATCCACCTGCTTCAATTAACTTGTATAAAAGGCGGATTCTCAGAGGTTCGTGGGATCTTAGGATTTCTCGTAACTTGGTGTCGTGGAGGCAGATTTCTCTTACGACTTCGTGTGTTGATTTTTACACCTAGTTCAGTGACACGGCATCCAAATTGCATTGAAACTCGAATGTAATCAAATGCGTTTTTTTCTTCTCCAACCTGTTTTCTACCTCACTCATTCTTTACGCTTCTGACTCATTCTCTTTCTACATCCCATCCACTCTCTATCTCTCTTTCTCTAATCTACATTCCTCTCTCTCCACCCCCAGTCTCTCTCTCTCTCTCTGTCCCTTACCTACCAACCTCTAACTCCTCTCCCCTTTTCTCTCTCTCTGTCCAGTCTCTCCACCTACCCCCTATCTACTAACCTCTCTTTCTATCCACCCCCACTCTTCCCTACCCCCACACTCTCTCCCACCTCACTCTATCCCTCCCTCACTCTTCTCAGTCTAAGTCTCGCCACATGACCCGGCTTCCACCTCCACTAACCTCCTCCACCTCTGACGCGCCACACAACAAAACCCTCACAAAATCCCCAACTCTTGTTCCGCCTCAGTTACAAAAACACATAAACACACAAGAACACACAAATACACCAGCCAAACAGGGAGACACATGGCGGGTGTGTGGATACAGGCGTGTGTCATGTAGTGTCGGCTCGAGTGTGGAGGACAAAGACTTAGCAACATATGTGTAGAAGCAAGTCCACATGTGAAGGCTGAATACATATATGAGGTGTATTCTTAAGTGTGTTGTGATGTACAGTTTTATGTGTTGCTGTTTGGGATGTTTGCGTGGATGTTGATGTACGCAGGTATACGACACACACACACACACACACACACACACACACAGTCATAACATCCGGACCTCTGGTGACCATCACTCCAAACCTGTTTATGAACATACACACACCCGGTACCTCACAGTCTCAGAAGGTCTTACGTTAAATCTCTCCCCTCAACTGTGGGGTGAGAGGACTGACTCACTTATAACACGATGGTGACATATTTTTAAAGGGTCTTAAGTTAATTTTTTCACCCCAACTGGAGATTTTAAAATGTATCTGACTGACTCACTGAAGTTATGGCGTCGGGATTCCACTGTGACTCTGTAGATACTAGAAATACATTTACAAGAATAAAAAGTGTACGATTCATACGAAAAACAAAATTACCTCACGAATCACTGGGAATCTGGGATATGGGCTTTTACCCTTAACTGGA